TAAAGATTTTGATTATTTGATTCATTACTGATCTGGGCTTGGTATAATATCAAGTAAGCTTTTGATCCCGACATAGAATATATATTCATTTATATACTAGAGTTGTAGAGGCGTTTGCTTTAGCAAATACATCACATTACTAGAAAATGCATACTTGTTTGCTTCTAGCTTATTACCATAAACAATTCATTTTTGTAACTCAAGTATTTTGGATAGCTTAAGTTCAAAGTTTTCTATTTACAAATATTTTATTATACTATAAAACTGCCTAAGCAGTTCCTAATATAATTAGTTGTGCCTATGTAAAAACTCGCTCGATTCGAATGCTTAGCTAGCCGAGCATTTATATAAAGAATTTTAGGTGAACCCAGTGGCCAACATCATAAACTTATATGGGGATCCTGACCCCCTCAACGTGCCGGAGCGGGTGCTATAAATGCCCCAGAGTTATAGCTGCGCTACCTAGTCTAAGCTATATCTTCCAACTGATATGTCGGCCACAATTTCGCTCGTCGCATGCGTCCTGATCGCGTTCTATCTGTGGATGCGGCACCGTTTCTCCTATTTCAAACGTCGCGGCATTGCGCATGAGGATCCCCGGCCAGTGTTTGGCAACATTTTGGGCTGGCGAATCACCCAGCACACCTCGCAAATGCTGCAGAAGCTTTATGTGAAGTACAAGGACTCTGGTCCATTGTTCGGCATATATTTCTTCATGAAGCCCGTGTATGTGGTTACGGATATGGATCTGTTGAAGCAGATCTTCATCAAGGACTTCAGCAACTTTGACAGCCGGGGTCTGTTCTACAACGAGCAGGACGATCCCCTGTCGGCGCATCTCTTCGCCATCGACGGTCCCAGGTGGCACAATCTGCGGCCACGCCTAACGCCCATCTTCAGCGGAGCAAAGATGAAGCTGATGTTCCCATCGGTGCTGCGCATTGCTCGCGAGCTGTGCAGTGCGGTGCATGAGCGGTGTGCCGGACACGTTGCCGCCATGGAGGTGACCAAGCTGCTGGCCTGCTACACGATGGACACCATTGGCAGCGCCATCTTCGGCCTGGAGTGCAACAGTCTGCGCGACGCCAAGGCGCCCTTTGTGCAGATGGGCCTGAACGCCATGCTGAAGAAGCGCATCGACTACCTCTTCTGCATATTCTTTCCAGAGCTCAGCCTCAAGCTGCACATCAAGCGGACGCCTGCCGACGTGGAGGCCTTCTACATGCAGCTGGTCAAGGACACCATCAGCCATCGGGAGACGCACAATATTAGGCGCAACGATCTCGTCGACATCATGGTGGAGATGAAGCAGAAATACGAGCGAGGCGACACAGCCGAGGGCCTGACCATCAACGAGATCGCCGCCCAGATGTACGTCTTCATTGTGGCGGGCTTCGAGACGACGGCCACAGCTCTTGTCCTAGCCCTGTACGAGCTGGCGCGGCATGAGGACATTCAGTGCCAGCTGAGGGAGGAGATTGAGGAGGTCATTGCCAATTACGGAGATAACGGAGAACTCACCTACGAGGCCATGCAGAAGATGAAATACCTCGAACAGGTGATGTCGGGTAAGTAGAAGAGAAAGGAAACTTTCCCGGGCCATTACCTCCATTATCACTCGATCATCCCGCAGAAACCCTTCGCATGTATCCCGTCGCCTCGGAGCATCTGCGCCGTGTCAATGCGCACTATGAGGTGCCCAACTATCCCAAGCACTATTTACCAGCTGGATCGCAGCTGATCATACCCGTCTACTCCATACATCATGATGCGACCTATTACCCGGATCCGGAAAAGTTTCAGCCGGAGCGCTTCACCGACGAGGCCATACAGCAGCGACCCACCTGTGCCTACCTGCCCTTCGGCCAGGGGCCTCGCATCTGCATTGGCATGCGGTTCGGCCGCATGAAGCTGGCCGTGGGCCTCATCACGCTGATACGCAATTTCCGCTTTAGCCTAGCGCCCGACACCCCGCAGCCGATGCAGTTCAAGAATCACTCATTCCTGCTGCATCCCAAGGAATTCCGGCTGCAGTTGGAGCCATTGAGCTAAGAGCCACGACTAGAATTTCCAGTTAACTAATTATTTATTTTACCATTCATATATTTTTATAATTTTGCTTTATTTTTATACGTTCCTCTAATCATTTACGATAGATAAGAACAAAACAATCGTAATATGTACTATATTTAGCAGCCAAACTGGTTTAACATGAATGTTGATAATGAAATCAAACCGACGCAACGTAACAGCGGCAAAATGAGAGAGCGAGAGTAAAGCTCTCTAAAGCTCGAAACTTAGCTATTTATTCTCTCTCACTTCGCATACAAATTGTGAATGAACTTTAGCTACTGAAGATACCTAAAATTCCACACACTGACAATAAAAATAATCATTTGTTTATAAACAATAAAAAATGTTTGTTATGATACAACTGCGTCGCATCATAGTGTAAAAGTGACATCATGCCTGTTATTTTATTGAAAATGTAACGGGATCAAATTATAATATAGCTACACATATAATTGTAAAATATACTAACATTATGCATATGACACAATCAGCAAGTCTGATTTACATTCATTTCTCTTGCTTTATCAAACTCGCTCTACTTTCAGGTAAATGCCAGACTCGCTTCCCACCAAGAAGGTCTTCCTGTTATATTTAATGGGAATCGTTGTCTTATCGCACACTGAAAACTTGAAGTGCTTAATAAGCATTGCGAGGCCAATGCGTGCCTGCATTTCTCCAAATCGCATTCCAATGCAATTTCGTGGTCCATCTCCGAAGGGAAGCCACTCCACGGAGTCGCGGCTCTTCACTTTTTCCGGCTCAAAATTATCTGGGTTGAAGCGATTCGGTTCCGGATACAGCTGCTCATCACGATGCATAGCTGCAGACGGTATGAGAACTGGCATACCCTTCTTGATCACATAATTCGGATATCCAGGCACCA